CAGTCAGTGAAATCCATCCATGAGAAATCTCAATGGATGAAATGAGATCAGGTCAAATCCATCAGTGAATCCATCCATGAGAAATCTCAATAATGGAATGAGATCGGTTCAATCCATCAGTGAATCCATCTATGAGAAATCTTAATGATGAAATGAGATCGGTTCAATCCATCAGTGAATCCATCCATGAGAAATTTCAATGATGGAATGAGATCGGTTCAATCCGTCAGTGAATCCATCTATGAGAAATCTTAATGATGAAATGAGATCGGTTCAATCCGCCAGTGAATCCATCCATGAGAAATCTTAATGATGAAATGAGATCGGTTCAATCCATCAGTGAATCCATCTATGAGAAATCTTAATGATGAAATGAGATCGGTTCAATCTGTCAGTGAATCCATCCATGAGAAATCTCAATAACGAAATGAGATCGGTTCAATCCATCAGTGAATCCATCCATGAGAAATCTCAATAATTAAATGGTTGGATGGTAAGGGAAATGATACAAGTCTTGATTGGTTTTGGGAGAGAAAATATCTCCCACAAGCCAAATTGATACATCTGGTCAATAGATAAGACACGGTCTAATCAAATCATTCACTATTTCACTGTCAGACCAGGATGAATAAGTGACAGAGTGTACTCACCCCGGCGGCCATGTGATATTCTGTATAAACACCGCCAGTATACGCCTCCAAGGCTTTTGTAGCATCAATACCACAACTAAACAAAAATACACATTGAGACAGACAAAAGATGTTAATAATTATGATATAGACACAACTACTGAGATGTGTAGATGTGTACATTCTGAGCATTATCTCACCTGATTGATCCATACATTCTGAGCATTATCTCATCTGATTGGTCTATACATTCTGAGCATTATCTCACCTGATTGGTCCATACATTCTGAGCATTATCTCATCTGATTGGGTCATACATTCTGAAAATTATCTCACCTGATTGGTCCATACATTCTTAGCATTATCTCACCTGATTGGTCCATACATTTTGAGCATTATCTCATCTGATTGGTTCATACATTCTGAAAATTATCTCACCTGATTGGTTCATACATTCTGAGCATTATCTCACCTGATTGGTTCATACATTCTGAGCATTATCTCACCTGATTGGTTCATACATTCTGCGCATTATCTCACCTGATTGGTCCATACATTCTACAAAATTATCTCACCTGATTGGTTCATACATTCTGAGCATTATCTCACCTGATTGGTCCATACATTCTGAGCATTATCTCACCTGATTGGTTCATACATTCTGAGCATTATCTCACCTGATTGATCCATACATTCTGAAAATTATCTCACTTGATTGATTCATACATTCTGAGCATTATCTCACCTGATTGGTCCATACATTCTGAAAATTATCTCACTTGATTGGTTCATACATTCTGAGCATTATCTCACCTGATTGGTCTATACATTCTGAAAGTTATCTCACTTGATTGGTTCATACATTCTGAGCATTATCTCACCTGATTGGTCCATACATTCTGAAAATTATCTCACTTGATTGGTTCATACATTCTGAGCATTATCTCACCTGATTGGTCCATACATTCTGAAAATTATCTCACCTGATTGGTTCATACATTCTAAGCATTATCTCACCTGATTGGTCCATACATTCTGAAAATTATCTCACCTGATTGGTTCACACATTCTGAAAATTATCTCACTTGATTGGTTCATACATTCTGAAAATTATCTCACTTGATTGGTTCATACATTCTGAAAATTATCTCACTTGATTGGTCCATACATTCTGAAAATTATCTCACTTGATTGCTCCATACATTCTGAAAATTATCTCACTTGATTGGTTCATACATTCTGAAAATTATCTCACCTGATTGGTCCATACATTCTGAAAATTATCTCACTTGATTGGTTCATACATTCTGAGCATTACCTCACCTGATTGATCCATACATTCTGAGCATTATCTCACCTGATTGGTTCATACATTCTGAAAATTATCTCACCTGATTGGTTCATACATTCTGAGCATTATCTCACCTGATTAATCCATACATTCTGAGCATTATCTCACCTGATTGATCCATACATTCTGAAAATTATCTCACCTGATTGGTCCATACATTCTTAAAATTATCTCACCTGATTGATCCATACATTCTGAGCATTATCTCACCTGATTGGTCCATACATTCTTAAAATTATCTCACCTGATTGGTCCATACATTCTGAGCATTATCTCACCTGATTGGTTCACACATTCTGAACATTATCTCATCTGATTGGTTCACACATTCTGAACATTATCTCATCTGATTGATCCATACATTCTGAAAATTATCTCACCTGATTGGTCCATTAGCATAGATCTCTGCCATCATTTTTTCACGACCATTCACACTCCCATAGTCACCAACTTTCCACTTCTTATAATCAGTTACATTATAACATTGACCAAATGCGTGGCAGGAACCGCACTGGTTGAACAGGTCACAATCTGTAAAAAGAAGTGTTAGCATACAGTCATGAACAGAACGGTGAAGGCAATCATGCTTACTACTTAATTTGACATGATTTGAAAAAAACAAAAAACTTTTGTTGCATCAGTTTTCCAGAATCAATGAATAGAATAAATCAGTGATATATCTTGCAAGGAAACAGTCAATTTTCTCCACAGGATTTTCGTACAAAATGGCGACTCAATTTGAACATTGTTTGCCCAATAATTTGCATAATTTAACCACATGATTTGCATACAGATATGCATTCTAATTTTCAGCATTCCCTTACAAGCATAAAGCATACTTGGGTCAAATGATTTCTAATTGAATTACAAAAAATACATTAAAAGGTATAGTTATCGGATACTGTGTGGAATCCTACTAGCCATCCAGCCAATGTTATTATGAAGTTACACTTACCCTGGTTCTTGGCCTGGTAATTGTTACAAGTCTCGTCAGGAATTCCTTTCTCATGAGCATACTGCCAGACGCCAAGATCACCACCGCCGTTACAGGATCCAGCATTACCACAGTCTATTACGTTCTGTACTGAGAGGTATGCAGATGGCCAGGCACCACCACGTTTGATGTTTATACGATCTAGAAAAAAAAAAAAAAAAAAAAAGAGTATAGTTTTTTTTTTTTATCTGACTTAACTTGGTATTCATCACTTTGAACTTTCAGATTTCTAAATTGCAAACATTGCATTTTGTCTTAAATTTTATCTCAGATGTACAACTAAAAAAAATAAAACTTAAATTAAAATTGGGATAACAAAGAACCTAAAATTGTGTTTTGACAATGTAAAACCCAATGTGACTATAAATGCACTGAATGTATTGGCTAGCATGGGAAATTGGAGCCTGGTTCAGAAATTGTTCGCCACATGTATGGCCATTGGTCTAATGGTTATTACAGCATTTTTGTTTTGTTTTTTAAATGTAATATTTACAAGCCATGTATATAGTGATGTGATAGACAGATACTTGAAGGACAATTTTCATATGATAGAATGTTTTAAAGCGAGGGAGTCGTCATCTGCGCATGCGTCAGATGGCCATAGCGCGTCATTGTTTACAAACAAGCGTCTACCCATGAGCCTTTGCGTTTTTAGCGCGTGTTGTTCTCGTCGCTTGATACTCAATTCCTGTGCATGTGCAGGTATGACTCTCCTGCTTTAAACTGAGTATTTATTCCTAACGGTTACAATCACCCAGGTATTAACAAATCAAAAAGTGAACTTTTCACCTGCCATAGCACTAGTTGATCCCATCGCCCAACATGAACCGCAGTACTGCGGGATGTGTTGATTTCGTGTTGTAGATGCATAATTAGTGCCGTTAACGTTGCGCCAATCCCACGACTTAGGCAAGTCTTGAATGTTTAGGATCTCATATGGTCTGGGATAGGTTCTGTCAAATAAACAAATCAAGTATTTCAATGTGGCCACTATCTAGAGTTTGTGATCAACATCTAATCACATAACTTTTATGTGAAGTATTATCAACATTCTGTCAAAATGTCCATTACTGATTTCATATTATTGATTTTCTGACAAAGTAAGACCATTCCAGTTATCAAATTTCAAACTCCTGGTATACCAATGACTTGCTATCAACTGTCTTCAAAACAGATTGTTAGCTGCTTAGTTGAAATTCCTAACCCCCACCAACCACACTATTTAAAACAGAGGAGGGGAGGGGAGGGGAGGGGGGAGGGGCTAACTCAGAGTTGATATGATATGATACTAGAAAGCCTTAACAACAAAATAGTTCATGATAACTGTCCTTCTTTCTTTCAAGACGGTACAATGTACACAAACAGATTACAGTAGAACCTTGCTACGAGTATGGAATATTTTATTTTGGGACCATCAACACATAGGTCTTCCCAGTCCGCCCACATACAGTGTAATATACAAATGTTAATTGTTATTGGTGTAGTTAGTTTCATACAACAAATACCGAAAATACCTCTCGATTAGTGTGAAATATTATGATTTTTGGTCTGTTTTGAATTTGAAATAACATTTAAAAAAATAGATTTGGCATTGTATAATTTTTTATTCTGCTAGATGACTGTGATATAGCTTATTGATTACTATGCCTAGCATAGTGAGCCGGCATGCGTGGCAAAAACAAAAAGGTAGTTGTGAAACAAACTTTTCAACTTTTTCATTTACATCAAATCTAAGCCAAAACTTCACAGTTTTTGAATGGTGATTACAAAAATCAACAGATTCCAACACATATTAAGGAAAGAACAACTAAACATGATTTGAGGGGCCTGACGATCTATTCGTGCGGTTGGTTGCTGAATTCAATACATTGACGTATATGGGGCAAACTACTACTTGTATGTCCCAGTACAGTGTTGTTGTATAATACAAAATATAGAATTGAAACTTTTTGGTAATGTAATTCAAGCATATACCACAAAATGTAATCATCAGAACTTTGAACCCCCCCCCCCCCAAAACACTACTACTTGTTTAAACGTGCACGAGACAAGGAAGGAAACAATACATGAACACATTTTATTTGCTGCCGAAAATGATATCTCAACATACAAAATATATTGTCCAACCCAGTTACGAATGCTGATAAAATACTGCTCTTTTTACATATAAATCAGATATTTAATGATGAAATATGGCCATTTCTATTCATCGTGATACCAATTACCTCAGTTCATGTCAATTTGCCGACAGCATTTGCAATCCTGCCGATTGAGGGCGCCCGCGCATACGCAGATTGACGTAACTGGAAGTCTGGTATCACGATGAATAGATATAGTCATATTTCTTCATAAATGAGTGGAAATTTGGAAAAAATATCTGATTTATATGTAATCCGTCGACATTTTCCAATAGCCCAGTGTCTTAACAGAACTCATAATTGGGGTGGATAAGATATTTTGTATTTTGAGGTATTATTTTCGGCAGCAAAAAATGTGTGGATGTAATGTTTCCTCCCTTGGGAACAGTATAGTGCAGGCTGATCAGCCAGAAATTAGTGATTTGGAGTGTTTCGAAGCATGGATAGTCAAATGTAATGATATACGAGTTCATTACATTACCAAGCTCTTTCAATGCTATAATTTCTATCATTTTGAGCAAGAATAAAGTCCCGTGACGGGACATAATCGTCCCTTCCTACAGACGTCCATGTATTGACGTCATCAATCAAACACACGAATAGAAAATCAGGCCCCTGTAGATTTGAAAGTATTGGAAATTACTATTGAAATCATAAATGAACAAACTTCAATATTTGAAAAAAATCACTGGAAACAAACCCACCACCCTACCCAAACACAAGCACAGTGCTGAAGATAAGACAGTGGTCTGAAAGGGAAATCAAATTGTGGTAAATCGCTAGAAGTGCGGTCTTCCCGGGGTAATCTTCAGAACTATCACGACCTTGACGAGCTTCTATGTAAATAGCACAACACAGAGAAAATGAAACCCAAATGAACCCAAAACTACAGCTACCAAAAAAATAAAAAAAAATAACTTACTTGACCCCCACGATTCCCTTGTCGTATTTGGCATCGTAACAACCATATTTTCTACCGGTAAACTTCAGTGTGTCTCCGTATACAGTGGACAACAACGCCACGAGAACCAATATAAACTGCATTTCGTAAGAGCAGACAACACAGCCCTCAGAATAATACTAGTACATAAAAGGGGCCGTGATAAACAAAGCCGCCTGTAGTTCGTATGGTAATACACTCGCAATACTTTTCGACCAGCTGAGAATCATGTGACATCGTAGTCATATAACTGGTGTCACATGACGTGTACAAACGACCCATCGTCTGTTTGTTATTGCGCCCTCGCCGACGAATTCTCTTGGACGCAGAATGTTTGATTTTTGTCATGGCCGTGTGTTTAGTCACCATATATAAACAGTTCCAGGCGGTAACAGTGCCCAGGTGTAATAACCACAGTCACTTGGGGGCTGAAAATCAATAAATACTAATTTTCAAAAAAAAAAATCATCCGCTATACGTATATAAATAAACAAGTTGTGAAACACGGCACCTAGTAAATCGACACCCTGTTGGTTTCAAATTTCGATTTCTTACCTTAAAATGCGAAACAAAAATTTTAGAGGGGATCAGGTGTTACGTTAATAACCATTGTTCATAATCGCTAACTTGGTTTTATTCAAAACTGCACAAGTCCCGCGTTTTCTGATGATATCCGACGATTTCATAAACGAAAATGGCCAGCAGCCAGAATCAAGGGGAATTCGCACAGAGTTCTGGGTAAATCAAGGAAATACTCGCTGTTACGGCACGCCTGATTGGCTGAAAATGAGTATGAAAATTAGTATTTATTGATTTTCAGCCCCCAAGTGACTGTGGTAATAACTATCTATCATTTTCAGACGTTATCACACCCAGATTGTTCACCAGTTTGCAAACTATGCAATTCACAATTGTCAGTGAAATTTAAATCAGAGGCTAACCTCACCGAGGAATCTGGTACTAGTATAAGTGTTTAGATTTGTTTTCATGTCGATGTTTTGCAGTGAAAATCAAATTTACGATATTGTTATTTCGTGGATGGAGTAAATATATTTATAATTTGAAGTAGTGAACATATTCAAGCACTGATAGCATTATCTCTCGAAACCGGATGTGTAATAGAATAATTCGCATAGTACTAGGGAGTCATTATGTCACGTTGCAGACATACACAAAAGCTACAGTCATAAACGAAACCGTAACATAATGCTAGAACAATATTAATGTAAACATAATCAGAACAACGTAATCAGTAAACACTGTAAAAATAATAACATGTAACATGTTGAAATATGATAACGTTCAAATAATGAAATAATATTATAAAAAAATAATAATGTAATAATGAAATAAATTCAATAATTGATGAAATGTATGTGCGGATACAAGTGTATAACAGATATAGATAATCGCCTACCGCGTACCAACTGTTTTCTGATAAGAGTCGAATTAATGACATCACTAGATGAAGCTAATGTGGTACAATGATTAATTAAGAGATAATGTTATGTAATAAGGAGTTTTTAACAGATAAAAGAGGCAGAGACGTCTTGCAAGTTAAAGAATAACCATTATCCGAGAGAACTTCTAAATTGCTAAGGCATTAGCCTGACAAGT